TTTTTGAAGCACGTATTGAAAGCAACAAGCAGTAAAAGGCAAAGTGGTAAGATCAATTGAAGGTAAAAGCTAAAATGAGTGAATTCCGAGTGAACTTGGTGAGACAGAAAAAGTTAGATTATAGGATGTCTGACATGGAAGGAACACATTCTGGCAGGGACAATGATCAACTTAACATGATGGCGGAATCGATACTGCGAATGGAAAGGATGATGGGGGACGTAAGGGATCGTTTGGATCGACAGGATGTACGATTAGACAGGCTTAATCCAATGCCTCCTATACCTCGACGGGAAGCCAATAATGCACGATGGAATGGAAGGCGGGAAGTTAGGATAGATGATCAAGATGACTTTGAGGCTGATAGTGGATTCGATGAGGATGCACTTGTAGATGCGGAGGTTGGAAGGGTTAGAAATAGAGGCGTTAGGCAAGGTGTGAGAGATAGGAATCTTGGTAGAGACGAGTTGGATGGTAATTTGGGAAATATTAAAATGACCATTCCTTCTTTCAAAGGGATGAGTGATCTGGATGCGTACTTAGAGTGGAAGAAGAAGATTGAGTTGATATTCAATTGCCACAATTACTCGGGGGAGAAAAAGGTGGAAAATGCGGTTCTTGAGTTCTCCGACTATACGATAACTTGGTGGGATCAAGTGGTGACGACGAGGTGGAGGATTGGGGCACAACCTATAAATACTTGGGAGGAGCTGAAGATGTTAATGCGGAAACGGTTTGTACCTAATCACTATTACCAGGAGCTTCATCAACGGTTACAAAATCTATATCAAGGCACTAGGAGCGTAGAAGATTACCATAAAGAGATGGAGATGCTTATAATTAGGGCGAACGTGGAAGAGGATAGGAAAGCCACTATGGCTCGATTTTTTAGGGGGTTGAATAGGGACATTGCCAATGTAGTGGAATTGCAACATTATGTGGAGATTGAAGACATGCTACATGTGGCCATGAAGGTGGAAAAGTAATTGAAGCGAAAGGGGATAGCAAGGTATCAAGGTGGATCTTCGGTTTCTAATCCTTCTTGGAAGCCGAGGTGGGAAAATAATAAAGGAGATGGAGCTAATGCAAGAGCAAGACCGGAGGTACCGAGAGGAAAGGAGGAAGGAGCTAGCAAGACTACACCAAAGGTAGAATCCCAGCCATCAAGGAATCAGGACGTCAAGTGTTTTCGTTGCTTGGGAGATGGACACATTGCTTCACAATGTCCAAATAAAAGAACCATGATTTTGCGAGACAGCGGGGAAGTGGAGACCGAGAGTGAAGGTGATTATGAAGACATGCCAGAGTCGGAGGACATTGAAGAGGAAAACACAACGGAGTATGCAGTTGGGGAGTTGTTGGTCACGAGGCGAGCACTTAGCGCTCAAATCAAGGAGGGTGACTTAGAGCAGCAGTGGGAAAATATATTCCACACACGGTAGCACGTCAACGGGAAGGTATGCAGTGTAATAATTGATGGTGGAAGTTGTACAAATGTAGCTAGCACTAATGTAGTGGAAAAATTGGGATTAACACTATTAAAACATCCTAGACCCTATAGGTTGCAATGGTTAAATGAATGTGAGGAGGTTAAGGTGACAAAAATGGTGTTAATTAATTTTTCCATTGGGAAGTATCATGATGATGTGTTATGTGATGTTGTACCTATGCATGCGGGGCATATTTTGTTTGGGCGGCCTTGGCAATATGATAGGAAAACAATGCATGATGGGTATAAAAATAAATATAGTTTTGTAAAAGAGTGAAAATCTATAACTCTTGTGCCATTAACACCAGCACAAGTGTATGAGGAACAAATCAAATTGAAAAATGAGGAAGAAAAGAAAGTGAGAGAGGAAAAAGAGAGAAAATAGTGAGGTGTTCGGTAAGGAAGAAAAAAGAGTGGGACCACATGAGAGAAAAGAAAGAGAGTCTTCCGAGAGGAGAGAAAAGCCGAAAGTGAATTTCTTTGCAAAAGGGAGTGAATTGAAAAAGGTGATAGTGGAGAAACAACCAATGATTCTTTTGATATATAAGGAATCACTCCTCAATTTTGAGGAGTCTAACACATCTCCCCCTAGTTTGGCTACTTCTTTATTACAGAAATTTGACGATGTATTTCTAGAAGACGTGCCTAGTGGATTACCACCCATTAGGGGAATCGAACATCAAATTGATTTCATACCTGGAGCTATCATTCCAAACCGCCCAGCTTATTGAAATAATCCAGAGGAGACAAATGAGCTTCAAAGGCAAGTGAAGGAGTTGATGAGCAAGGGTTATGTAAGAGAGAGCATGAGTCCATATGCCGTACCAGTATTGTTGGTGCCAAAGAAAGATGGAACTTGGAGGATGTGCGTGGATTGCCGAGCTATCAACAACATTACGATAAATTATCGTCACCCAATTCCTAGGTTAGATGACATGTTAGATGAATTATATGGTGCTTACATCTTTTCTAAAATTGACCTTAAGAGTGGGTATCATCAAATTCGTATGCGGGAGGGTGATGAATGGAAAACAGCATTTAAAACGAAATGGCTAGTTATGCCCTTTGGACCCACAAATGCACCAAGCACGTTTATACGATTAATGAACCATGTTTTACGTGCTTTCATTGAAAAATTTGTTGTGGTTTACTTTGATGACATTCTAATCTATAGCAAGGACCTAGGAGAGTATTTAGAACATCTTAAACGTGTGCTTGTGGTTTTAAGAAATGAACGACTTTATGCTAATTTCAAGAAGTGCACGTTTTGCATGGATAGAATCATATTTCTAGGATTTGTGGTGAGTGCTAATGGGGTTGAAGTTTATGAGGAAAAGGTAAAAGCTATTAAAGATTGACCAACACCTAAAAATATAACCGAGGTTAGGAATTTTAATGGGTTAGCTAGTTTTTATATGCGATTTGTTAGGGATTTTAGCACACTTGCCACACCACTTACTGAAATTGCCAAAAAGAGCGTTGGGTTTCAATGGGGTGTAGAACAAGAACATGCATTTAACACCATCAAAGAATGTTTATGTAAAGCACATGTTGTAGCACTTCCTAATTTTGATAAAACTTTCGAGATTGAGTGTGATGCATCAGGAATAGGCATTGGAGCAGTTTTGATGCAGGAAAGGAGGCCGATAGCATACTTTAGCGAGAAACTAAGTGGGACAACTCTTAACTATCCTACTTATGACAAGGAGTTTTATTCTCTAGTTCGAGCCTTGGAGACATGGCAACACTACTTATGGCTGAAGGAGTTTGTTATTCACACCGACCATGAATCATTGAAATATTTGCAGGGCCAAGGTAAGTTGAACAAACGACATGCACATTGAATGGAATTCATAGAGACTTTTCCATATGTCATTCGATACAAACAAGATAAGGAAAACATAGTGCTTCTTATTTCTTTAAGTGCGAAATTACTTGATTTTGAGTGTGTTAAGGACATGTATGAAAACGATCTTGATTTTTCTAGCATCTACAATTCATGTAATAAGGGGGGCTATTGACAAGTTCTTTAAGCATGAGAGATATTTGTTTCAAGAAAATAAATTGTGTGTTCCTAATTGCTCAATGCATGAATTGTTGGTTGGGGAGGCACATAGTGGGGGTTTAATGGGTCACTTTGGGGTAGCAAAGACTTTAGACATGTTAAATGAACACTTTTATTGGCCTAAAATGAAGATTGATGTAGAACGAATTTGTAGTCGTTGCATAACTTGTAAAAAGGCTAAATCAAAGGTTTTACCCCATGGACTTTATACACCTTTATCGGTACCTAGCGAACCTTGGGTTGACATTTCAATGAATTTTGTGTTAGGTTTGCCTACACTACACCAAAAACCACTTTTGGCAACAGGCAGAAAACGTTGCCATAGAGCGAAGAGTTTCGGCAACGTGAAACCCAGCTTCGGCAACGTGCAATTGCAACGAAACCAAGTTTCAACAACGTGCTCTTGCACGTTGTTGAAACTGGAGTTTGTCGTAAATGTCATTTTTATTTTTCTGATCAATTATTTTACATTTTTCCTGCCAATTAAACCTGTGAATTAAAAACATATTTTTACTATCTACGCACAAGTACTTTAAGCCAACAAAAAATTAAAAGTGCTTCATTTAAGCCAATAAACATGATCCGATATGCAATATTACTTCATCAAAACATAATAAATACTTCAATTCAAAAATATACACCATCTAACCAAAGAACTATGAAAAATGTCTAAAAGTTATGTAAACGATTCATAACCGAAGCTTCTAACGAGTCCCAGCCAAATCTTTTTACATAGACGAGATCCAAGACGATACAAGTACAAAAGAGATTTTCAACTCACTTCAGCTCCATGTTACTGCAAGAAAGAAAGAATATAACAACAAATTAATCAAAAAGAGCAAGTAATTTAGAAACAATACAATGTCAGTTAAAGCTTTTTAAGACACAACTATATTCATTCTTTTTACATAACCAGTCTATACTCATTCAACATATATAGCAGCAGATTTATGTCATTTAAAGAAAAAATTGAATCACACACTCAAGAATACAAGCTCATAATTAAACCTTGATTGATTTTTAAAAATAAGATCAATTTCTTTTTTAAGAGAAGCCATTGTGCACTCATTAGTAATGCCATGAACAAACTTCCACATTCAAGGTTGTAGACTTGTGTATGCACACATATATAGCCACTCTTGAAACATGTTTAATGACAAATACGTAAATGAAAAAAAATGTAGAAATTTATAAAGTACATTCGTCAAATAAGTCTAATGCAGCTCTTTGGCCAAGCAATAGTACTTCCTATGGCGTCACTAAGAACTCGAAATTCTTCCATTGGTCTATATAAGGGCTAATGACTCATGTACACCTCGTCAACCCAAACCTTCCAACAATCTCGTTCTAGTGGCACGTGATGCACATTTGTACTTGGGTCTATTGATGCAATCTTCCCTTAGCCTACAATTTCCTCCTCAACCAAGTACCAGTGCAATAGCTGACACTTTCCATTTTCCACTGGTGCAATACCTCCCTCCATACCACTTCCTTGTTGAGACTAGAAATTCGCATTAAAATAAAGTCTATTTTTAAAATTAGTATGATATAATCTGAATTTATATTGAAAAAATAATATACAATACAAAAACCTGTGGAGTAAAAGCACGTGAACTCATATCCTCTACATTCTTATTTTGATTCTGCAAAATAATACAAAAAAATTAAACTTATTGAAATGTTAAGATATATTAAGTTACGCTATCATATTCTATGTAATAGCAAAGTATAACCTGGGATAACTTCAGAAGTGCTTCAACCTTTTCTTCGAGTGCTTCCATCCTTACTGATTGAGTTTGTAATTTAGTCTCAAGGTCTCTCACTTTCTCACTGCTTTGTGTATTTCCATCTATTTTTGATGGTGTAACCCCAAGTCCCCTTACTCGTCCACGACGCTCGGGATCTAAAATTCGAGCAACAGCATCATCTCGAATAGAATTTTCGTCTGGTGTATCAGAAATTGACTCCAGAATCTTTTATCTTCATCTGCACTTATGAAACTTAAATATTACACTAGATCTACACACACACTCTCTGGTGGTGTGTGTGTGTGTGTGTGTGTGTATGTATATATATATATATATACAAAATACACGTACCAAAGTTTCAGCAACCGCCTCATTTATTGGATTTCCATCCTTTCGAAGATGTCCATGAGTCCATACTGTCGTTCTCAATCCTGTTATATTTGGATTCTTTCTTTTCTACAATAACAATATTGAACTCAATCACAGACACGTATATGAAATCAATAAAGACACATATCAAAAATAAAGAAAGATAGTTCTTGTACCAAATCGTGAGCCATACGTGAATAACTCTTCCGACCCATAGTATGGAGAAGCTTCTGACTACTTCTCATTTTGCTGAACTTAGAACTTTTTTCCTGTCAACGAAAACAATATAAACCAACAATAATTGACTACAAAGTTTAAAGTTCATACGAAAATATAACTTACTTGAAAAGCAGTGGAAAGAGTATCTTCTACAAACTTCTCCCATGCTTCTTCTGAGGTTATATTCTTTGGTCTAAGAAGGGCAATAGCACGTTTTCTATTCACGGCAGATGGTACTTGACGTTTGATATCTCTTCTCAATCTCGATTTGAATGTCCTCCAATATGTTCCCATACATTGAAATGCCATTTTTTGATGGCAGTCATTGACATTGAATTTTTGCTACAATTATCACAAATATAAAAAATGGTCGATATATGATCGAAAATGGCAATCAAGCTTTGAAGGAAAAATGTATAACCAATAAAGTATCATATTAAATAAATGTACCTGTATAAAATTCCAAAGTTCAATTTTTTTACTGTCATCCATTGAAGGCCAATTTTTAATAACAACTGGCATGTACTCCTACACTATGGCTCCGGCCATGCTGACAAATTTATCAGAGTTATGGCCAACTACTTGCCCGAATTCATTGAATTCAAGCTCCATTTTCTGATTGTTATTTTCAGCAACCATTTTCAAATGAGTTGGACCTCTTTTCTTTTTCGTAGCATCTACACTTGTCGAAGTCATGTTTTGATCACCAGTAATTGGAGTAGACATGGTATCTCTAGGTTCACTAGAAGGTCGTAGTCTTTTATTTGTCTCCCGAATTGCAACAGCAATCGCAGCGCTTCGTCTTTTAGAACTCTTGGAAGCTTGCTTATTTGACTTAAACAATGCAACATGAAAACATAGCATAAAGTTAATTATTCTCGAAAGTTACCATCTTAAGAAGTGTATTGAAACACACTCACATGAGCTTTATCCATCATGCGTATATTTAATAATATCACCTAGTTCCAAAAAGCCACTTGAGAAAGTATGAATCTGCAAACAATAAGAGAAAGAGAATGATATTCAAAGTTCTACTACTTGTAATTTAAACAGTTATATGTATAACGACATTTACCAAACTAATCAATTTATATATCACATAATATGCCTTCAACATCCATCCTTGCAAAATTCTCATCCTCCTCATGATTGTCTTCAATTTGTGTTACATCCAATGGAATAGTTGCCTCATAAGAAGTATCTTCTTTCATATGTAACGTGTGAAAATCTCTTGGTGATGCTTGCAAAACAACATACCAATTAGATGTTTCATTCTCCCTAGAATAAAAAACTTGTTTCGCCTGTGATGCCAAAATGAAAGCATCATTTTCAAATTGTCCGTGTCCCTCGTGAAGGTTAACCAAAGTGAATCCATCTTCCTTCTTTATTCCACTCACAATATTTGCCCAGTCACACTTGAATATTGGACAATGAAATGTATTATAGTCAAGCACTATAATATCGCGCAAAACTCCATAATAAAGAACTTTTCCAACAACATGTGCATTATCTTTTGCACTAGATCTACAGATGGTTGTTGCTTCAACTAAAATGCCACTGTTTTAGCGAGAGTTTTCGGCATCTTTAGTGTGAAATCGAAATCCATTTATTACAAAACTGGAATATGACATGGATTGACATCTAGGGCCACGTGCAAGCCATTTTAAAGTATTTGAAACATTGTCCAGCAACAATTGACCCGTAATCTGTTATGAGTATAAACGCGTTAGGAATAAAAGAATAAACAACAGAATTAAACGCTAATCTGGTCGATATATGTACTCTAACCTTATTGTGCAACCAGGTGGCAAACGTGTCAATATGTTTCTTATGCAACAAATCCTCATTGCATAAAAGTCGTTTGTCAGAACTCTTGAGTTCACTCATATGCATCCTAAGTAAAAAACAATATATCAAGAAATCTCAAAGAACTTAAGATCCCAAAAAGTATATACTTCACAAACATACTGTACGTATGGAGCCATTTCTACACTATTCAGCAATACATAGCGATGGGCAACTTTTAGCATCTCATTAGATAGTACAAGTGACTTCCCTTTGGAAATTGGACGACCTACAACTAAGAAGTCACTCTCATACTCTTCATTGCGTGCAGGCTTAGAGCCTATTTCAGATGCTTGTTTTATGTATTTGCTACAAAACATTGCATTTTCTTCAACAATATATCGTTCAGCTATGCACCCTTCAGGCCTTTCAACACTTTCATATACCTACACATTTTCCAAAAAAGTAATAAAGTAGAAATCAATTTGATAGTGGATTTAATTTCTGGGGATAAGGAGTGCTACCTCTCAAATGGGTACATCCAACGATATTGAACTGGTCCACATAAACGAACTTCTCTTCCAATATGAATTGTTAAATGAACCATTATATCAAAAAAGGAAGGGGGAAAATACCTTTCCAACATGCACAAAGTTTCGGCAACATCCTCTTCTAAAATTTCAACCTTATTCCTATCCACGATTCCTTGACATATTTCATTGAAAAATGAACACAATTTAAAAATGGAGTTCCTTGGTCCTTTAGGTAAAAGTCCTCTCAGTGCAACTGATAGTAATTGTTGCATTAAAAGGTGACAATCATGAGACATGAGTCCAACTATCTTACATTCTTCCACTGAAATGCAATTTCCAATATTAGAACCATAACCATCCGGTAATCTCAAGTTAGCAAGCCTTTTGCAAAATTTTTGTTTTTCTGTTTTTGATAAAGTGTGAGGAGCTGCAGGTAAGTAAACTTTATTTTCTCTACTCTCAGGGTGTAGATCATGCCTAATGTTCATAGCTTCCAAGTCCTTACGACAGTTAATACCATCTTTCGATTTTCCTTTCACATTCAAAAGTGTACTAATGATGCTCTCACAAATATTCTTTTCCACGTGCATCACATCCAAATTATGCCGTATAAGTAAAGTCTGCAAATCAAACATCACTTGTTTCATGAGATACTAAACGCAGTTAGATGTATTAAAAAAGGAAATGATATAACTAGAGTTACCTTCCAATATGGTAGCCTGAAAAATATTGACTTTTTCTTCCACGTTACATTAGATTGAGTCATGTTCTTCTTTCTCTTTCGCTTACCATTTTTGCCCCAATCATTTGCAATTTGATCAACTTCATAGGAATCTTCTTCACCAGTTTTTATCTTTGGCCTAATGCCATTTTCAATATATCCATCAAACCAACTCCTTTTCATGCGAAATGGATGACTCAATGGGAGAAATCTTCTATGTCCCATGTACGCTAACTTCCTACAATGTGATAACCATACTGAACATGTATGTTCACGACAAATAGGACATGCTATTTTTCCTTTGACGGGCCATCCAGATACATTTCCGTACGCAGGAAAGTCATGTATTGTCCACATCAAAATAACTTTTAAGTTAAATGTAGACTTCGCAACTGCATCATACATCTCAACCCCATCACTCCATAACAATATTAAGTCATCTATAAGTGGTGCCAAATAAACATTTATGTCATTACCTGACTGCTTTGGTTCCGGGATTAATAAACTCAACATCAAATTTTCCTTCGACATGCATGATGACGGAGGCAAGTTGTATATAGTTAAAATAACTGGCCGACAACTATATTTAGAGCTAAGATCTTTGAAAGGATTGAATCCATCGGTGGCAAGACCCAATCTAATATTTCGAGGATCTAACGCAAAATGTGGCCATCTTCTGTTTATCATTTCCCATCCCATTGAATCAACTGGATACCTCATTTTACCATATGAACTCTTATTATTTGAGTGCCATCTAAGTTGTTTTGCCATCTCTTCTATTCCAAACATCCTCTTAACTGTTGGTATGATAGGGAAATAATGTAAGACTTTTGCTGGAATTTTTTTTTTGAACTTTCCTAGTTTGTTGGTTAACTTTCCATCTTGAGCAACCACATTTTGGACATAATTCAACATGTTCAAGCTCCTTCCTATATAGACAACAATCATTCAAGCAAGCATGTATCTTTTCATAGCCAAGATTAAATGTGTTGACAAGTTTTTTCATCTCATAAAATGAGTTAGGAAGTGTATTATTTTGTGGTAACATGTCCCGCACAAGATGTATGAGTTCATTGAAACCATTATCTGATAAACCATGTGCAGCTTTATGTTTAAACATAGCAACTGAAGCTGACATCTTCGTAAACGCCATACAACTAGGATACAAAGGAGTTTCCGCATCGCTAACTAAACGTTGAATGTCTTCCTCTGTTCCATCATGAGGATTTTCAGAATCTACATCATGTTACGTATAGAAGTCCCTAAACATCCTACATGACTCAGGCATTTCTACATCGACCAAATTTAATTTACTTGGTTTTTCTCCATGAAATACCCAATCAGTGTACGTAGGATCCATACCCTTAATAATCAAATGTTCATATACTATTTCATAGTTGTGATGCTTTAGATTCCTACTCTTGATACAA